CATCAGTGTTATCCAGGCCAAAGCTTCTCTAATTCATTCAAATGAGTGTAAAATAGATACGATTTTTTTGCTTGTTTTCCCATTTTACTTCAGTGGGCATGTGTTTATGTGGCAGTATGTGGATGTTCTATTATTATCACTAAATATTATAAGTCATTTGCAGATCTTTATGAATACACTCTTTTTTTTTCTCCCTTTTCCCATCAACCCATACAAGTTTGATGTTTTTAAGTTATCACAGAAAAATCTTATATATTTTTCCAAACTCAAGATTAATGTAGGAATTTGTTTGTGGTGGTTTGATCTCAAAATTTTAAGAAAATCAAACAAGTATCTCGTATTATATGAAAAACCTTCCGCAGGGCAGTTTTCATCTGAATGTGGAAGAAGGTTGCTACCTCATTTTAGGCAATCACATGGGCACTTCTTGGAAAGGGTAACATGATTCAGTTCTCTGATATAAGAGAGGATTAAATTAGGGGATGGATGTTCCTTTGATCCAGCTGCTCCTAACTGCTCAGATACTTATTCTGACTTTTCTATTTGTGGTTATCTCAGATGTATATCAGAACTTTCAATAACTTTTGATTTTAAACCTTCCTGCATATTATTTTTTATACACAGGAGATACTCATTATCTCCTGCATCTGAACTATTGCTTTCTAATAAGAGAATTTCTTCACCTTCCATATGTATTTCACTTTCTGCTTTTTTCAAGGATTGTATTTATGCTGGCATTTTATGAACTTTATGTAGTGAAGCCAAATTTATCTGAAATTTCAGTCTTCATAAATCTGATGGGGCTCATTTCCTCTGAAATCAGGAGTGGTGTTGAATGGAACTGCTACTAATGACTGCACGGCAGGTTTAACCATTGGGGTTGATATGATTCAAAGTTTTAATTAAAACCTGAATCCTGAAAAGAGTATGATGCAAGAGCACCAGACATCCTCTAGTGATGCCATGAGGAAGGTACCACTGAATGACATCAACAGTGTCATTGTTCGGAGACAATCATACCCCAGGGATGCCAGGCATGGTGCACAATCAATCTTTGGGCAAGGTTGTAATAAGCAAATATTAGTGATGACTTTTCTAATAATAAGTAACTTTCCCTTGAGCTGTAAGAGTACCTTTAAATGAGAAATATCTCTTGAATTTCAGATTATTTGTGTTTTCATGCAACTCTGTACTAGAAAACTCTCTAGCTGTAACAGTAAAATTACCAAGTAAAATTACCAGATTCTGTGTGTTGCACACAAAAGACTTGAATAACATGACAAACCTTTGTGATTTCACCTCTGGTTTATATGAGAAGAGATTATAACAAAAATCTGGACAAAGGCAACTTATTCCGCAGTAAGGGAAAAAAGTCTATTTTTATTTTTCCGTGTGTATGACTTTATGTTTGACATAAAAGCATAAAGCATAAAAGTGGTGTTTGAAATAGGTACCTAACTGAGGAAAGAAAAAGGGGAAAGCCCTGACCTGAACTCAGAGGGCTTTCTTAGATCACTGTTACTAGTAAATGTTAACCATAGAAGAAAAAATTAGGATGAAAAGAAAATGGAAAATTTTCTAGCAAAGTGCAGTGGAAGAAGAGAGTAGTATGAGTAGTAAGGAGGGAGATAGGCAACAACCTTACAGTCAAGGATCATAGAATCATAGAATCATAGAATAGATTGGGTTGGAAAAGACCTCCAAGATCATCAAGTCCAACCCCTGATCCAACTCCAATTACTATATCATGGCACTAAGGGCCACATCCAATCTCTGCTTGAAAACCTCCAGGGATGGTGAATCCACCACCTCTCTGGGTAGGCTGTTCCAATGCTTGAT